GAGAGAGAGAGAGAGAGAGAGAGAGAGAGAGAGAGAGAGAGAAGCAGCTGAGGTCAAGGAAAAGGAGCTGTGAAAGAGAACTGCTTTCCTCCTTCATCTCAATCTGGCTTCTGAAGCTTCCCACGTACTGTGCAGTGTGCAGGCCTAGCTGGGTCAGGGGCCTCCTAATGCATTCTGTGTCCATCAATATTGTAATTACATATTTGTGAAAATATATATTTACATGCTGCATTCATTCATCCCTTTCAGCCAGATCTTCTTAAAGGCCAAATCCTTCCCATTCAAACCTCTCCACATCTCCTCAGTGCCCTGGGGACAAAGTCCAAATGGCCTCCACCATGCCTTCTGGGCCAGTACCAGGGCTGCTCCTACATTTCTGGGCTCAGGTGAAGAGCTACACTGTGGTGTGTGGGATCCAACCCATAGTCCAACCGAGATACTCCGGGGGATTCAAGCCCTATGCGGTGAACTTTAACAGTGACACAGAGGTGATGGATCTGGTAGATGAGCCCCTTTCCTTTCTCCCCCAGAGAAACAGTGTTCACATGTGGCCTTTCTTGGTGACGTTCTGTACCACCAAGAAGCCACTCTTTTCCTGTGAAGCTGGAGGCAGCTAACCAAGGTGTCACCTTGCCCTTATCCATCTTCTCCTCCCTTGACCACTTTGACTGGGCCCTGGGATTTGCAACTGGACTGTGGTATTCGAGGTTTGTCTCAGCTGTTTTCTAGGGAATGAGAGCAGAGAAATAGCTGACAGTATTTGTCATGAGCATGAGTGAGCTGCATCCTGCAGGGAGAGTTCCAGTTTGGCAAATAAAAATATAGAACACTCAGTTAATTTCGAGTTCTAGATAAACAGCAAAAACTTAAAAAAATCTATGTATGTCCAAATATTGTATGGGACATACTTATGCTAAAAATGATTTGCCATTTCCCTGGGTTTCTAAGTTAACTGACATTTTCTATTTTCTCTGGCAACCCTATCCGAAGACACCCAGGAATACCTGGAGGGAGTAGGCTTTGTAGGGTTTGAGGTGGGGGAAGAGTACAGACTGAGCTTTACTGTGCAAAGCAAAAGATGCAAAGGGGATGGGGTGGGAGATGGAGTTGTGCCACACTGAAGAAACTGAGGTTTTTAACATTGTCAGAGAAACAATAGGATTAACTCTTTAATATGTTTTGTGCTGCTATCAAAGAATGGCTGAGAGAGGGTAATTTGTAATAAGACATTTATTTTCTTGCAGTGCTGGAGGCTGGGAAGTCCAAGATCAAGGCACCCACATCTGACAAAGGCCTTCTGGCTGTGTCCTCATGTGGTGGAAGATGGAGGAGGAAAGAGACACAGGGGCTACACTCACCTTTTATGATGGTGTTAATCTCACCACGATGGCCGGGCTGCTGTGGGCCACTTGCCTCCCAGAGGGAGCTATATGGCAGGGAGAGGCTGAAGGTGAGGTTCTCAGCCTGATGTCTTCACCTTGTCCATGTTTATAGGGGTAAGCTGATTTTCTAAAAATAACTATTTTATTGATTGGTACAATCAGGGTCTTAGCCTTTGTTTCTGGGATAAGCCAATGTTCCCAGGAGCTATGGCCACGTAGCAAAAAGTATGCAAAGGTCCCACAAAGGGCAGCCTCCTCCAGTACATCCGGTCACAAGTAAGCGTGCAGTTATCTCCATTATGCTCCCCACCCAGGTCAGGCCCTATGCTGCCTATTCCTCCCTAACTGTCCTACACTGTCCAGTGGCCAGAAAACTGTAGGTGCCCCGCCCTCCCCAACCTCCAAGTTTCTTCCCACTGGGCCTCATGTGGATTCTGCCTCCCTCTGCTGTGAATTGGAGCCTTACTCTGGGTGTGAGCTGCGTCGGTCATAGAACTTACACCCTTTGCTGCTCACTACCAGGGTGTCCTTTGTTTGTGGGTGTCCAGTGTTTTCTGGTTGTTGTTTGGTTTGGTTTGGTTTTAAGAGAGGAGGTCTCCTTTGTTGCCCAGGCTGGAGTGCCTCACTACTCACAGGAGTGATCCCATTGGTATACTTGGGGCAGATGCAGATGAGCACAGTGTGCTACTACCCTGAACTCCTAGGCTCAATCAATCCTCCCGCCTCAGCTTCCAAGTGGCTAGGACTACAGGTGTGCACCACACACCTGGCTCTCCAATGTCTTGAAAACCACTGCTCCACATGTTTTCTCTCTCTCTCTCTGTCTTTTTTGTTGTTGTTGTTATTTCTGGTGTGAGAAGAATCCAGTCCTTGTTATTCCACCTGGGCCTGGAGCATAAATCTCAATGGTCATGTGATTTGGTAAAGTTAGAAAAAAAGATGAATTGCAATCACAATCAATAAAAAGCACCATCTTTTCTCTGCAGGTTCTACTCAAATTCACTTCCTCTGACACCTAGTACCATCAGAGTGGCAGATGACAGTTTGGAATTTGGGGAAGTAAGCCACTGTCTTAGTCACTTTCCTTGTCACTGGGACAAAATACCCAACACTCACAACTTAAAGGAAGGAGGAGAGGATGTTTTGGCTCACAGTTTTAGAAGTTTCAGTCCATGTCTGGCAGGTTTAAATACAGGAATGACATGGTAGGAAGAACTGGTGGAAGAAAGATGCTCATGTCATGGTGGCTAGGATGGAGAGAGAGAGAGAGAGAGAGAGAGAGAGAGAGAGAGAGCACAAACTAGGGCTTGGTTGACAGATAGTTCTGCACATTATGCAGGCACCACCCAAAAGTGGACAGCTGCAGTACTACAGCCCCTTTCTGGGATACCCCTGAGGGACAATGGTGAGGGAAATCTTCACAGTGGCCAAAACTTTGGGCAGTGCACCTGGTCATACATTTTATTTGGAAGAAAAAATGGCCAGATATGTGACTATATATTCATTTATGGGCTGTAGCCAGTGGTCTGGTTGGATGGTCAGGGACTCAAAAGGAACATGACTACAAAATTAATGACAAGTATATGGATAGACCTCTCCATGTGGGTGAAAGGTGTAAAGATGTAAAGATATTGGTGTGCCATGTAAATGCTTACCACAGGGTGACCTCAGCAGAGATGGAAGGGAGGAGCTGGGGAGGGAAGAGCTGACTCCTCCTACCAGGTCTCACCTCCTAATATAGCGGTAATGCCCATAATCCAGTCCTCCACAAGCTCCACTTCTGAGCACATGACGCTTTTGGGATCATTGTCAATCTAAACCCTAAGAGCCAGAATATCCTTGTGTGTGTGGGAGAGGGGGTACTTGACCTTGAACCCTGGGCCTTTGCATTGAGGTACATCCCCAACCCTTAAATTTTTTTTTGAAATTTTGAGACAAGGTCTCACTAAGTTACTAAATTGCTCAGGTTGGGCTCAAACATGTAATACTGCTGCCTCAACCTCTCAGTGTTGAGATTATAGGTGTGCACCACCAGGCCTCGGTAGAATATCCATTTTCAAACCGATTTAGCAAGATGTTTTTGCAATGTTTCACCAAAACACAACAACTATTGCACACTCTCAGACAAATATGAAGGGTACATCTTTGCTACCCTTAAATATTTATTAAACAATAGTGAGAAAATTCAGATTTAAAATGTAATAAAATATGCAACCAAAGCATTAAAAGTAAGCAATGGAATCCACAGAAATTTTTCCATCATGTGTAAATGACTTGGTATAAAACTTTTCAGGAGCAGAAAATCATTAAAAGAAACAAACAAACTTCAAATGGAAGCCTTGAATAATGAATTTATACTGTTTGAATTCATACTCCACCCCCAGAAACTAGTGCTTCAACAGGACTCGCCTGCGCCCTCTTCTGGACACTGGTTGGCAGCGCGTGAGGAAGAAGCGTACTGGAAGACACGCTTCTCAGCGGAGAGGCACAGAAAGTGGCCCGCCAGGCTGGCATCTCTTCTCTGCCAGTTCGCCCCTCCGCAGGACCCGGTCCAGCTGCCTAGGGAAGTGAGGACGCTAGAAAGAACACATGGGAATATTTCCCTAAGTCCATCTGATCTTAGAAACTGCAGAAACCACCAACAAGACCACACACAGCCTGACAGCCTAAGAAGCGGTGGAAAGCGCAGAGTTTATAAACTGGGTAAACTCTGGCTGGTTCTGAGCCAGATTTGAGGCCCGCCTCCAACAGGATGCGTGCAGCGTTGGAGAAATGGAAAGAATTTATGTCACAAAACCAGATACACACCCTAGAAGAAATTTTTAGAAAAATACAAGTACAGAAGCCGGGCGTCACCGTGGTGCTGCGCGAAAAATACAAGTGCATAACTCAGTCCTCAGGGCAATTCAATGAGGCAGCTCCTGGCATTAATTCCACTTTTCATGTGCAGAAACTAAGTTATATGCTTAGCATTTGCGAGGTCTTCTGGTTCCATCTTCAGCACCACAAAAGGGAAAATAAAGGAAACTGAGTGACAGGGGAACTGAGAAGTGTGGCAACAAATACTGGGTTGCCAACAACTGAATTTTGATCATTTTCCCAGTTAGAGATGTGCCCTACAATATTCCCTCATGAGCACATCAGCAGCAACACTGCCAGAATTTTGGGGGCATTCTGTTTGTTTTCACATCTCACCATGTGTAATTAAACACCCATGTGGGATTCCTGCGTGTAGGTTAATGGTGAGTACACAACCATTCTGTTCTTCACTATTCAGTAATCTACACGAGCCATCAACCCTTTATTATAAAACAGGCTTTGTGTTGGATCATTTTGCCCACCTGTAGACTAATGCAAGTGTGCTGAGTGGATGCTGGATAGATAGGTTAGGTGTATTAAATGCATTTTTCACCTGAGGTAATTTCAATTTACAATGGGCTTATGGGGTGTAACTTCACTGTAAGTCGAGGAGCATCTATCTGTATCCGGAACACAACCTCATGCCATGTCTGCGATTTCTGCAGCCCATTGGGACTGCCCTGTTGGGTTTGACATAAGTGAATTCCTAGGGAACTTTAAAAAACTCTCAGTGCCTCCCCAACCTTCCAAACCCTTGGATCCAGTCTCTGGAGTTGGTCCCCACGTGTGTACAGGCGTCAGCAATTAGCAACCACAGCCCAGGCCTGAGGGTTCTGCCCCACACTGACCAGCTGAACCCGGCACAGTCACGTCTGTCCCATCCTCCCTAGCCCGGAGTTTGCTTGCATTTGCGGATTGACGGTCGCTGAGGCTGGACGAAATCCTGCAGCCGCGCCCTGGGGCCGCCCTCGATCTCCCTATCTCTGTCTTCCATTTGTAGGGAGGCAGTGCCCACTGGCGGATGGAGGGAGAAGGGAAAGCCAGGCCTTCGAAAGCTTAGCTCAGCCTGGCGACTGTCGAGGCTGGACCGCCTAGTGGCCGCTTCCTGGCGCTGGGGAAACTTTCTCTCCTCCAGCACTGGCTCTCATCGCCCGGTGGCACCAATCGAAAACCGCCCAGGTCCTCGCAACGTCCACGCACGAGCTCTGGAGACTCAAGGATGCAGATTCCGAAACTTGCTGAATCCCTGCCAGAGGCCAGGATAAGGCTTAGGGCCGAAATGACTTCTCGGGGGCACCCTCACACCCCTGAAGTGAAGGGCCATTAGTTGGGCGTAGGAACCCAGCAAAATTAAAGTGAGACAAAATATCATAAGGCACGTTTGCTATTCGGCCGAGGCACCGCTGGGATTCGAACCCAGGATCTCCTGTTTACTAGACAGGCGCTTTAACCAACTAAGCCACGGCGCCGCCCGCAGAAACAGCCCTCTAAACTATTCCCTATTAGGAGTTACTCCACAGGCCACGCGCATGTGCGGATCCCTGGCGCATGCGTAGTGTAGACCCTGGTGTGCCTGGCCTGCCGCAGCCTAAGGATGTATGAAAGGCTGGGAGCTGGAGCCGTACGCAGGGGCGAGGGGCGCTGGTTTCCTTTCTCTGTAAAGTCTCTTGCTGCGTAGATCTCGTATTATTCTATCTTCAGAGGATGCTCGTCTCAGTTCCGGGCTTTTTGCGCTGCAGAACTGACCCAGCGAAGCACGGCCCGAACTCCACCCTCATTCGAAAACGCCAGCTCTGCCCAGGCCGCCAGGCTGCCGGGTCCTGGGGCGGGGGGGAGCACGGGGACCCGAGAGAGCCTCGGATCCATCCGCACCGCGCCTTGAGGCCTCCTGCCTTGCCAACCCTGGGGGCCCAGAACTTCAATTGGGCCGCTTCTTGCCGGGTCAGAGAGCGTCGAGGGTACTTCCCCATCTTTCCCCTCAAACTGAAGCCTTTACGTGTTTCCGAGCGACCATGCACTTCCAAGAAGCCCGGACCACGGCCTGGAAGCAGCTATTCCTGTGGGAGGTGTCCCTGGGGCTCCCATTTGCCCCCTGGGGTCTCCTCACTCCTCACTGGGGACACTAGCCACTGGGTCCCAACACTTTCCAGAGGGCCTCTGCGGCAGCGAAGCCAACCCCTGCCAGCGCCTGTCCCCACCTTTTCTACTGTAGGAGATTCTGCTGCAGAAGTGTTAGTCTTGCGGAGAGACTGAGGGAGGAGAGGGAGGAAGGGAAAGGGGAAGAAAAAGGGATTTAAGATGTATTATGTACATGCATTAATTCCCCACAAGGAATGTTAACATTGTGTACTACACACAGGTACTAATAAATAAAAAAAAATTTAAAAGTCTAGGCCCAGGAAGATTTCCCCAGAATTATTTGTAACAGCAACCTAGGTGCCCATCAGTGGGGGCAGTGTCCACATACACAGTCCAGGTGTCCAGCACAGCCCTAGGAATTCACAGCTGTGTGCGTCTTCATGTGTGGAAAGTCCTCAAAACCAACAGGAGGACAGAGGCCACAAGTGGAGCTTTGACCATGTCATACATCATGTCTTATAAGTAGGTGAATAAATATCGAGCAGTCAGCTTGATAATACTGAGCGGTCACCCACGCTGTGACAGACAGGGATGGTGCCCAGCACAGGACCTGCTCAAATAATGATTACAGATTGTGAGACTTACACACAGAATTGTTGAATGGCAGACAATCGACATGGTAGGCATCACGTTTTTATAGTGGACCAAGGAACACTTGGCAAAACTCATGTGAGCCACATCAGATGGAATGGGGCCCTTCATGTTTGTTAACTGAAAATGTCACTCTTTCTGGATTGATTTATGTTGTACAGTATCCTGTGGGAGAAGGAAGAGGGCCTCACATGTGCAAAGGCATTCTGGACATTGAAAAGTCTGGGTAGAGATCATGAAGCATCCTGTGATGAAAATGCCAGTACCACCCCTTGTCTAATCAGACCTTCCTCTGTGCTGGGCAGGTGGCTACCTGGGAAAATTAGCAGTATCTTAGTTGGTTCTGTGTTGCTGTAACAAAAAAACCCAAGACTGGATACTTCATACAGAAAAGGATAGTAAGCTTAGAGATCTGCAGGCAAGAAAGTTCAAGACCAGGTGGCCTCATCTGATGAGTGCCTCGTGTTGTGTCATAACATGGCAGATGGCATCACATGGCAGAAGCATGTGTAAGAACAGCAAGCAGCACGTGCAGAAGAAACCAAACATGTGGATGACCCAACTTTATAACAGTCTGCTCTTCTGGTAGCTAACCCAGACTCCTGATGCGAACCCACTCCCAAGAGATGGCATTAATACTGTGCCAGGGCAGTGCCCCCATCTTCTATTTTCACCTTACAGAGGTCCCCCACCTCTTGGTAGCATTGCAGGGAGGACCAAGCTTCCAGCTCACAAACGGGACAAACCATAGCCAAACCATAGCAGCCACAATGGGTTGCCATCGCCCACAGAGGAGCCTCACGTGACTTCATACGCATTTGGCAAACCTGTCCTCAGGAAGTGCCAGTGCCATCCCTCTGGGGCCACCTCACAGGACAGCTGTGCACTCCAGAACGTGAGCGCATACTGTGTTCCAAACACGAGACAGAATGAACACCAGGACAGAAGGCCTAGAAAGAGCAAAACTGCTTTTACAATTCACATGGACACTTGTTATCCAAAGGAATCTAGATTTACTATGCATGAAAACCGAAAGTGTTCATTTTCCCCCCGGATGCTGCGGGACTGAGGAGGTGCCTGGTGCTGGAGCCCGGCCAAGACGTGGTCCCTGCCAGGTCTGATCCGCCCACTCAGCGGTGAGGGGCCCCACAGAAGGGGCCCCGCAGAGCCCTGCAACCTGCATGACAGGTGGCTGACGCTCAGCTCACCCCAAGGGCCTGGTAGCCATCAGTCCTCCTTGCTCTCCCCCTCTGATGACAGTGAAGCCTCCAGTGGTGAGCCCCTTGCCTCTCTCTGGGAGAGTACACATCTGGTGAATACTTCAGAGGAGCTGTCACGTTCGAAGGCAGAGAAAGACCTGTCACATCCTTAAAAACTGACATGAAATATTTTAAGACAGGAGCAAGGAGATGGTGGTCAGAGGAGATTCATGGGATGAAGGTGAAATTCCCCACCCAACCCCCAGCTCAACCCAGCTTCCATGGCTGGGCCGAGGCAAGGGCTTCTTCTCTGGAGTCCCTAGTCCTCCAGAATGGACCCGGCATGCCAGTGGGTTTGGGCAGGCTTCTGTTCCCTCTTCCCCTCCAAGCCTGAGCAGTATGGAGGGTAGGCTTGAGGGCAGCCACTTGGTGGTGGGAAGACAGGGGTGACTGTGCATCCCTGTCCACTGCTCTGTGCAGAGTGGAATTGTAGGGCTGAGGAAACATTCTGACACCTTGACATGCTGGGGACACCTGACTTTTATAGAACCAAGAGAAGCAGGCAGGCACAATTTCTGAACAAAACGGGTTTCTACTTGGCTAATGCGAGTGCTCAGCATCCCCCTGGGTCCTGGGCCTGCCTCTGGCCACAGCGCACAGAAGAGAGGATGGGGATGGCCTAGCTCAGCTGTCTCATCTGCTTTCCACTCGCCCTAGAGAAATGAGAGTTCCTGAGCCTCCCGCACAGGAATGGGGCCCAGGGGGCCTGGCCGGGGGTCTGCAGCTGGACCAGAGGAGCTCATGTGGTGTCCAGCTGTGTCTGACCATTTCTGCTCCGGACACACAGTGCTGCCTCGTCTCCGCCACACCTCCGCATTCACTGCACTCCTAGCCACGCCAGCCAGGCTCACTGCCCCAGGGGTCCCGCACAGGCTGTTCCCACGGAGGGAGGTCCTTCCCAAAACATCTGCATGGCTCACCTCCTCCCACCTTCCAGGCTGCGCACGGGTCACCTTCTTAGCGGGTCCCATCCTGGCCACCCTTTAAATACCGCAAACCCCAACACTCCCACCCCTTTCCTGTGTCAGTTGTCTTCAAATTACTGTCACTATGGGACTTACTACACATCTTCCTGTCTCTTTACACTGGGCTTGTCTCTTCTCCTAGAATTTAAGCTGCTACAGGGTGAGGATTTTACTCTTCAGGGTTGTATCCCCAGTTGCCCAATAAATGTTTGTTCACACCTGCCTTGAAAGCTGAGGACCCGGGTTCGATCCCCAGTACCAAGAAAAAAAAAGTTTGTTCAAAGAATAAATTCATCAAAAAAAAAAAAAAGAAGAAATTCATCCAGCCTTGCCTGAAGTCACACCTGCATCTGAACTTTTCATTATGAGAGTTAATAATTTTCCTTTGTTACTTGACCCATGTTGAGTTGAGTTTCCATTGCTTATAAACAAACTTGTGCCTATGATTTGTTTTGTCCTCACTGCAAAAAAAAAAAATCCTCCTTCACTGGAAATCGCCGGTCTGATCTTAGGAAAGTCCATATGAATGGAATATGAAGAACTCCACCCAGCAGCCTTGGAGAACAGAGCCTGGCACGGGTTCATCACTCACTGTCTCTGGCAAAGCAGCAGGAGCTCACGGAGCCTTCGTGGCCCTGCATCAGAGTCACACAGGCGCCACGGTTTCGAAACTCTCCTGCGTAGACAGTCCATATGTTTAAGGCTTTATCCCAGGAGGTTGTACACAGGAAAAGGCCACTGAAGGTAAAACAGCAGTTTGAGATGGCGCTCTCCTGTGCCCTGAAACACAGGCAGGGGACATGTTAGCGCTTCCTGGATGGCAGAACATGTGTCCCTAGAAGAGGGGAGGATGGCAGAAGCGGCCACCATCTCCTGTGAGCAAATGGACACCAGTCCTTTGACCCACCGTAGTCCAGAGACTAATTGCTTAGACTGTGTCACACCACTCCAGGATTTCTCAGCCACCCTAATATGACACGCTGTCGTGGATCATTCTTTGTTGCAGAGGCTCATCTTATAGAAAGTAGGATGCTTAGCAGTATCCCTGACCTTTATCCAGCAGATGCCAGTAGCTCCTGCCATAACCCATTTATGACAAACAAAACATCTCTAATCATTGCCAAACGTCCACTGGGGAACAAAGCTGCCCCCAGTTGAGAAGCACTGGGATATTCAAAAGCTGCCGTGGCCTGAGGAAAGAACACCTAAAAAGCCATCAGCGGCGGCTGGTGGACTAACGGCCGTCCAGCTTCCGGGTGGGTCCGCTCACAGAGAGGCCCGCCCCTCTCCTCCTCCTTTCTCCTGTGCGGTCGGGCTCGGCTCCTTCCCTCCGCGTCCCACCCCGTGTCCCGTCCCACTCCTCTCTCGCTCGCCCTCCTTACTGTTCCGCACCAGTGCTCCCTCCTCATCTATCTCCAGGGCCATTAAAGCGCAGAATAATGTTCTATAGACTTAACTAATAAAGGTTTGGGTTACTCATTCTCGATTTTAAAATATTTTCTTTACTTGAAAATAATCTATCAGCTTTCAGCCCCCCTTTTTTTTGTTTGTGATCCTCAGAGTAGTTTCCCCGTGATTCTCATTTCCTCCTAGAGAGAGAGTTTTCAAGTGAAACTACAAACGCGTTCGTCCATCTCTGTGCAAAAATCAGTCATTCCACCAGAAGAAAAGACTGAGCAAACCTGTCTTGCTGAGCTCAGGTCAGAGTGTCAGACCCCATCTCGGTTCACTGAAAGGCAGAGACTGAGCGGGGTGCAAAGAGGAGAAAGGTCAGCTCCTCGGAGGGCCCAGGACAAACCTCCCCACAACCTGGTGTCTGGCAGGCTAGGAGCCCTGGCATACACTGAGAACGGGACCCCGTCCCTGGATGTAAACTGGAGCTGTCTCCGCTGCCAGGATGGCTTCTCACGTGGAGTGAATCCCACTTCCCAGAGAGAACAGGAGTTTGGGGGCCGCGCCTCTGTGACGCGGAGCTCTGGACACGATGGAGCCACGGCACTGATCTCTCCTCCTCCGGCCCAGTGCAGCTGACAGCCCTGGGCAGTGTTTACAAAGGGAACGTGAGGAGGCCATGGAAGGCAGAGAGAAGAGGCAGATATCCCTCAGTCAAAGGGGAAAAATATGTGTGGGGGCAAAAATAAAAAAGGCCTCCAAGAAAAGCCTGTTCTCCCCAAGCCAAGGTCCAGGACAGGGGCAGCCTAGCAAACCAGAAAACTTTTAGATAACTGCTGCCCTATCTGAGCCAGGAATCTCAGGAAAAACTGCAGCCCTGTGCTACCCTCATCAGAAAGGCTGAATGGGAAGCCTAGATGGCCACCCTTCCGTGCTGTGAGATGTGGCCACTACAGCAGATCTCAATAGACTCTAAGTCTCGCAATACCCCAGATGCCCAACATGCAAAGGAACTCCCAAGAGTCAGGAAAAGCTGGACATGAATGAGAAAGGCAATCAATAGATGCCGACACTGAGATCACAGAGACGTTAGAATTATCTGACCAGGATAAGTAAGTAAGATAATAAGTAAAATAACCCAGTCATAAAAGGATGCATATTGAATAATCCCGCTTATATGACATATCTAGGATGGGCAAATTCATGGAGGGGAAAAGGTTATTGGGGACTGGTAGAAAGGGAAGTTATTGTTAAATGGAGATAGGTGATGATGAAATGGTTTTGGAAATAGATAGGAGGGATGGTTGTGCAATATTGTGAGTGTAATTAAACCAGTGAATTGTGCACTTAAAAATAAGTAAAATGGCATGTTTTATGTGTATGTATTTCATCATCATTAATGATAATGTCATATCCTCAAAACTACTAACTTCATTTTACATGGGTGAGTTGTGTTTAAAATGAAAGGCAAGGAGACAGGAAAGCAGGAAGGGAGAAATAGTGGCTTCAGGGGGGAAACACAAGGTTACAAGATACCAGAGAGTGATCTGTCACTATATTGTATATTCTTGTGTACTTTTTAAATTTCAAATTATGCTGCATGTTTTACATTTTCATAAAAGTAAATTATAGGGCTGGGGATTTAGCTCAGTGGTTTTGCCACCTGCTGTGCAAGCAGAAGGACCCAAGCTCAATCCCTGGTCCCCCCCAAAAAAAGTAAATTACAAAATGAGGCACAGAGGCACATGCCTATAATTCCAGCTATTCAGGAGGCTGAGCTAGGAGGATCACAAATTTGAAGCCAGGGTGGGCAATTTAGAAAGATCCTGTCTCAAAATAAAATAAAAAATAGCTGGGGATTTAGCTCAGTGGCTCCACACCTGCCTCGAAAGTGCAAGGTCCCGAGTTCCTTCCCTGGTACTGGAAAAACAAAAATAAAAACAAAAACTGCAAAATAGAGCCATATAATAAAAATTAAAAAAAATAAAAAATGGACCTGGAGTGTGGACCAGTAGTGTGCTTATCTAGCATACATAAGTCCAGGTTAAATCCCCAGTACTGAAAGAAAAAAAATTACATAATTGCTGAAATGTAAAAATGCAAAGTCAGGAATTTTTAAGCATATAAAGATATCAATAGCAGAGCATGAAAACAAACATGGGGCCCTTTTGAATGTGACTCCTCAGAGGTCACACACTATGAAGCCAGCCTTGCCTTGTGGCTCTGAAACTCTTTGCCCCTATATTTTCTTGCTAAAAGGTATGTTTCCAGACTGGGCTGGTGGCTGGCCTCAGAAGGCTGAGGCAGGAGTATCACTGCAAGTTCAAGGCCAGCCTGAAGGACACAGTGAGATCCTGCCTCAAAAAACTAAATGAAGAGAAATAAATAATTAGTGAATGGTATATTTCCAGAGATAATCAATTTAAGATAAATCAAAACTACCAGTAGACATTTTGTTTATCTCCCTCTTCCACATCATATCCATTAGGACAGCAGAAGTGGGAGGGGGGTCGGGACATTGCACACAGTGGGAGCTCGGTCGCCTCTGCTGCCCTCACCCCCTCACTGCCATCACGGGGCGGGGGGGGGGCTCTGAAGAGCAGCATAGAGAGGGCGCCCATGGCGCTCTAAGCCAGGCTTTCCCTGGGGGCGCTCTCGGGAACAGCACCCTTGGAGGGCCCACAGTGCAGCCAGGACTGTGCTAAGGTCCTGCTTCGTATGTTACCCTGTTCAGACCTCACCTCAGCTCTGCTTGCAGAGAGGAAACTGAGGCCTGAGGTCACCCAGAATGGGAACCACATCCTCTCAATGTCTGGCCTGGCCACCAGGGGAAGCTGGCCTGGCCATGCAGGAGTAATGGAGCAGAGCAGGCAGGGGACAGGAGCACCACACGGTGGGATCCTGATACCAGGGCCTGGTGCCGAGGGCTGGGCCCATCTGGTGGTGGCCGTTTGCCAGGGACCCTCTGCAGGCACTGGATCATCACAACTTCCCGTTTTACAGGAGAGGCTGGAAATTCGCTTGTGGGGGGGGGGCGGCAGGGGATTGAACCTAGGGCCTTCACACTGAGCTGCACCCCAGACCTCTTTTTATTTTCATTTTGAGACAGGGTCTCACTATATGGCCAAGTTGCCTAGGGCGTGCTCAAACTTGCGATCTTCCTGCCTTGGCCTTCCAGAGTGCTGGAACTGCAGGTGCCGACCACCAAGACTGGCTGGAATTCACATATTAATGCAGGCTCTGCACACAGTTTTCCAGGATAGACTCACGCTAAAACAAATGCATCTGGGGCCCAGCCCAGCCAGCAGGCCACAGGTGGTGGCTTCTCCCTGCCTGTGTCTCTGACCTCCTTGCAGACACCACTACATGGACATGCGCTTGCAGGCAGACTCCCAGAGGGATCCAAGGCAGGCGTCCCACCCACGTCCCTGCAGCAGGATGCTGCTGGCCTCCGGGACCCTTCTCACCTGGAGATGGTGAGCAGCGTGGCCTGGGAGGTGACATCCCAGATCTTGATGCACCTGTCCAGCGAGATGGAAGCCACCCTCTGGCTGTCGGGGTCAAAGCAGCATGTGGTGATCGACCTTCTGTGATGGTCTGCAGCACAGGACAGTGACTTGTTGCCATGAGGACCACACTCTGGGCCACTCAGCCACTGATATGAAGACTCAACTCCAGTTTTCATAAGTGACTGTGCCCCTCACATGCATTTCCTGAGCGCCTACTATGAGCCAGGCTCGGAACACTGAGCCCAGCTGACCTGCTCCCTGTGGGGCGGGAGAGACGCCCTTGAGCAGGCAGCAACCCGCCACATGCAAGGGCCATGAGGGGACTGTGTAGCCCATCTTGGCCTACTCCACCTTCCAGGGCCCACAAAGGCCGTAAAAGTCATCAGGCAGGAAAAGAAGCACACCCCAGGCAAAGGAACAGCACATGCAGAGGCCTGGAGGGAGACAGAGCCAGAAGTGCGGTGCACAGCTAGAATGTGGAGCGGAGGAGAGGCAGCATGTGAGGCGATGTGTTAGGGGAAAAGGCAAGCTGGGGTGGTGCTTGTGTCATGGCAACACGCTGGTAAAAATAAACAGAAAGGACATATGGGAAGTACAGTTCAGGATGGTCACCGTGCAATGTATTGTTAATAATAGACACCTCGAGCCAGGCATCGGGGCCCACACCTGTAATCCCGGCACACTGGGAGGCTGAGGCAGGAAGTTCGGAATTGTGAGCCCTGTCTGGGCAACTTAGCAACTGCCTGAAATTTTTTTTTAAAAGGTGCAGAGTTCTGGGGCTGTTGCTCAGTGCAATGGCATTGGGTTCAATCTCTAGCACCACCAAATCATTATAATGATAATAATAATAATATGTATCTTTGGACTGGGAATTGAGCTCAGTGGTAGAGCACTTGTCTAGCATGCTCAAAGTCCTTGGTTGGATCCCAGCTCCACAAAATAATTATAATAATGATAAAAGATACCTCTGGGGAGGGGACAGGACAGGTACTGCTGCTTTTGCTCTTCACATATTGAAATTTTTAAAATAATAACTGCATTTTTTAAACTTTGTCTTTTTAGATAATTGCAAACTTACACACAGATGGAGGGACTCATACAGGGAAATCCTATGTGACCTTCACCCAGTTTCCCCTATGGTAACATCATGATACTAAAGTATCACTACCAGGGAATTCATATATGATGGTTATTTTGTGTGTGTGGTTATTATTTTTATATTTTGAAAATATAGATAGAAGCTGGATGCAGTGGTGCTTGCATGTACCAGCATTTTTCAGGGGCTAAGGCAGGAGGATCCTGAGTTTGAGTTCTGTTTAAGCAACTTAGTGAAACCCTGTCTCAAAATAAAAGGGCAGAGGATATAGTTCAGTGTAAAGGCCCTAGGCTGAATCTCCAGTACCATAAATCAGTCAATCAATCAAACAATCAATTCAGGTAGAAATGTTAAGAAGGGTGGGTCTATGTGCATGTGTGGCCGGACGGGAACATTGTTTCACGTTATAAGCACAAGACTGAAATGAAAAGTGTTAACCAAAGAGGACCAGCCTTGGTCGTAACTGTGCTTTTCACAGTGTCCAAGCTTGAACGATGTGGTTCTTACCATGACAGGTTCACCGAGTAAAGCTGTCAAAAGTCACTATTGGTCAAGCGACAAGCAAGCACTCCTATGGGGGGCAAGACACAGCTGGGAGCCCGGGGGGCCTCACCTTCAATGTATGTCATGGTGGTGATGTTTTCCACATCCATTATGTAGATTCCACAATTTATATCCAAGCCTGAGACCACGTATTTTCTGTCAGGAGAAAACTTACAGGACGATATGAAGGTGTCATGCTTGGTCTTCCACTGAAAGGGGTTGACAATCAAAAGTTGTTTCTTTGGGCCAGGGATTTAGCTCAGTTGTTCTGGTGCCTGCCTTGCAAGCGCAAGGTCCCGAGAGCCTCGGTAGCAAAATAAATAAATAAATAAATAAAAGGGTAAAAGTCATTTCCTCCCTCTCACTGGCCCAGCCACCCAGTAGAACTCTCTATGATGGTGGAAATTTCTATCCATGCACCGTCCAAAATGGTGGCTGATGGTCACATGCGGTCTTTGGGACTTTAGTGGGCTGTGTGAAGAAGGAGCTGAATGTTTAAGTTTGTTTAATTTTAATTAATTAACTTATTAATAAATGTAATAAATTAATCTGTGTCCAGGACAGAGGAACAGGGATGGGACACACAGAGAACTGGCCACAAGGTTCCAGCAATGGCCAACTTTATTCCGGTCCAATGGGGTAAACAAGTGTTATTGAGTGTCTGCCCTGTGCCTGGCACTGTGGACAAGATGCTGTAGCCCCAGACACTCTCAGTACCCTGTGGACAAAAGGGGGTGATGGGCTAGCTACGGTGTTGTACATTGTAATCCCAGCATTTAGGAGATGGATGCAGGAGGATCCTTAGTTCAAGGCCAGTCTGGGCTACATAGTGAGTTCAAGGTTGGCCTGGACTACATATAGTGAAACTCGGTTTCAAAAATAAGAAAAAAGGCTGCCTGCTGCGCAAGTGCAAGAACCTGAGTTCAATCCCTGGCACCAAAAAAAAAAAAAAA